ATGCTCCACCATCCCCCACTACTCCACCATCCTCCAGCTGCTCCACCATCCCCAGCTGCTTCCCTTTCACCAGGCAGCCAGTTAACCCATCCCTAAGGAGGAGAAGCAGCAGGTCTCTTCTAGAGAAAGGGAGAATGTGAGGAGGTGAGGTAAGGCCAGGCCTGCAGGTCCCGTGGCACAGTCACAGAGAGGAGGACGCCTACCTCCATCTCAAGTCTGCTCTGGTCTCCCGCCAAGATTCCTGTCTCCACAGGGAGTCTCCTCAAGTGAGGTCATGCCATCATCATATTCCAGAGCTTTCTCTGGCTTCCCATGACCTTAATATAGAGCCCAAGTCCCTTTCAGACAAGGTAGAACCAGGCTGTCCCTTACACTGTGGACATTTCCAAGTGTAGCACACAGATGCCCCTCTTGCAAAGCCTTCAGACAAGGGTCATCTGCAGAGAGAACAACTATGAACTAGCGGGACTTGGCTCTGTGGCAGGCCCCCATAGGCTGAGCGATTTGCCACTCTTCATTTTTACCTTCTGCACTCATGCAGGCTGGGTACTAGGAGTGTTTTCTTCCCAGAGAAAGACACAGAAGGTCAGAGAGCGCCGCAGCAGACCCAAATCTGCCAAATCCAAAGGCCTACATATTTTATACTGGAAGGATTGGGACTCTGTTCAAATGGGGGAGGGGCGGCAATACTGCCCACTGCACTGGGTTGTTGTGGGCGGGGGTGGGAAGCTGTGAAGTGAGCTCAAAGGTAGGAGCAGTTCCTGGCACAGCCTCAGGACTCTGTGTGATGGCTGTTGCCCCTGGGCAGGACCTGCAGGATGAGACTCAAAACACGGCAAAAGACTTGCTTTACTCAGATGCATGGAGTAGGTGCCCTCGCTGCTCCCCTACTCTTGCTAAAATGTTGACTTCCAGGTTCAGAGAGAGACCCTGCCTCAAAAACGAAGGTGGAAGGGCTGAAGCAGAGAGATGACGATGATTCAGCTCCGTGGTTAGGAGAGTTACTGGTTAACTTAAGGGTTACTGGCTGTTCTTCCAGAGGACCAGCACCCACACCGTAGCTCACAGCTGTCTGTAACTCCAGTTCCAGGGGATCCAATGCCTGGCCTCAGATATCTGGCCTCCCGGGGCACCAGGCACACACAGGGCCTAGACACACATGCAAGCCAAACACCCATACATGTAACATGTAAAATTTAAAATTTAAGGTGGAAGGTGTTACAGGGAGATACCTGACATTGACCTCTGACCTCTACACCCACACATAGGAAGAACACACCTAAAAGTGTGTGTGTGGGGGGGGGGTTCTACCAAAAATGTCCACATTGGTCTTTGCTGCTAGGCCCTGGATGGTCATGATTTTTAAAATTTTCCCCAATAACCAGTTTTTTCCTTTCCTTTTTCCTTTTTTTTTTTTCCTTCTGCCTTTGGTAAGCTGCCCATCTCAAAGCGGGCTCATGGATGTTTTAAGTCACCTTCCAGACAGGCTCCCCAAAGCCAGGCCGAGAGCAATTCCACAACAGAGTAGGGCACCTGGCAGAGGAGACCCCTCCAGGCTCAGGCTCTCTGGCCTCCTGTTTGGCAGGGATTGTGTTGGAGGAGGGGTCTGGGACCATCAGTGCTGGGAACTGGTCAGATCTGAGCCTACTCTTTGCTGGCACTCTCCAAAAGGCACCCAGAGATGCCATGTGGATTTTCTGGGCTCCGTGGGGGCAGCAGGAGCAGCCGTAATGTGTGAGACCTCCGGCCCTCAATCCACCAACAGCTGTGACCGCTTCAGGTATTTTAAACCCTTGGGCTCCAAAAGCTCCTACCCCATCAGACCAGGCCCTGGGCCCAATGGGGTGAGCCAGAACCAGGTCAGAGGCCTGAGTGTGGTAGCCAGACAGGGGCGAATTACATAAGAGGAGGGGGCTTTGTGTCCTGAGCCTTGGGCGAGACTATGCCAGCATTTTCTAACTATTGTTTCATTTAATATCATTTTGTATCCTCCATTGTACTGAGGGATTGCCTATGAACTTACTAGAGGTAGGACGAGTCACTCTCGCCCGCTAAGCCCCTGCCTACACAACCTGTGTCTCCACCCAGGTTCCTTCTCTGCCGCTGCCAGGAGCTATGCACCTCCAGTTTAATTTTTTCACCTTCTCTGGGCTCTCTTTCTTCATCTCCAAAGTGGTAGGGTTCCTGGAAAGATAAAATAATCTAATACACTGGAAAGTGCTGGTTAGAAGCAGCGTGGGGGCCCAGAAACCACACAGGCAATGAGTCCTCACTGTTACTTCTGCTCAGCTGGGTAACCACGGCCTTTGCCGGATGCCATCGCAACCCTAGCTCTGTTGTGACCCACTTGGGACTTGGCTGAGAGGAGACGTGTTCTAATCCCACACTGGACCCCACTTACTTGGTGGGAGTGGGTGATATAAAAAAATTCATATTCTGCACCTCTTGGAGGTGAGATGCACCCCATCTGGTTTACATGCAGAGGGGTGCTCAGACCCACGACTGCCTCTGAAGAAGAGGGGTTCCATCAGCTTGTAGCCACCGGGATTCATTCTCACTTAGGCAGCTGGCCCTCCCCATGCTTCCTCTTGATTGGAGGAAGCTCTGCCAGGGACCAATTCGAAGTTACCAACCTCTCCCAGGATCTGAACAGGAAGCCTTTGGGGGGGACAGTGAGTGACCCCTCTGGCAGGGACACTGGCCCTCTCCCTTCTCCACCCACATTCCTCCCAGATCTCTGACACCCAGGAACAGCTGGGGTCCTTACCATCTCCTAATTTGGGTATCTGGAGGAGAAGGTTGGAGTCCAGGGCTGGCTGGGTGTGCCTGGGCATTAGGTACCTATGCACAGCCCCTGTTTAATTCAGGGGTCTCCCATCAGTCCACCTCCCTCCCCCGTATGCATCCCCTCCATCCACCCCACCCTGCAGTTTCCAAGCCCATGGCAAGAAGCCACTTCTTCAAACGCTGCTGTTTACTGCATTGCCTCCAGGTTTGAGTTCAGAGAAAAAGGGCCTGGATAGAGTTCAGGGTGGTTCAGACCCCCCTACTAGATGTCACAGGCACCCTGGCCTTCCAGGACACACGCTGACCTCTACCTTGGCACACCTTTTGGTGTCGCACACTGGGGCCCTAATCCTCTGCCTGGTCCCTGTCCTTCAAACAGGCACACCCTCTCAGCCACCGGGAGCCACCCAAATCTCCATCCATAAACACTACTAGGACCAATCCTCCCCTCTCCCGTCCTCTCACGTTCCAGCCGTTGTCTTTGCTGCCTGCCCCAGCTCAGCCTGCTCACAGTGGTCTGGGGCAGCCAGAACACACACACACACTTTCAGATCACTCCTGAGGAAGAGCCATTCCAGGCTCATGCAGCTCTTCTCATACCTGGGCTTAGTATTCCGGTCCCTGCCAGGGATAGCCCCCCCCCCCGCCCCCGCATTCCACCCAACTCCCTATCTCCCACGGCAATGTAAATCTGATGTGGAATGCCCAACTTCCCGAAGATGTTCGGAAGACTACTTTCCTCCCCCTTGTATTGGCAAGATTTTCTGCAAGAAACCTCAGAGGCCTCCTCCGAGAAGCCTTCCTTGGCCCTAGACTGGGTCTGGTCGCCTCCTCTGTGTTCCCACCCACTCCTGCCTGTCCCTCCAGCTGCTCCTGTTCGCATTGTCTGCCCCTCCCGGCTGTAGGTCCAGAAAGGAGAATTTAATGAATAAAAGAATGAACAAGCCAAATATGCAAAATAGGAATTGACAACTTGGCGGTTAGGGGCTCCTGGAGGGCGGGGCCAGGCCTGATGAACGGGCCGCAGGCCCACTCCAAGAGGAGTCCGGCGGACAGCTCCGCCCAGCCCCGCCCTCCAGCTGTGGTTTAAGGCCACCCGCAGCTCAGCGGCCGGCGCAGGCGCAGCGGAGGGCTCACCTGTAGCAGGTGCACAGTCTCGGGAGCTGCGGGGACAGCAGCCGGCTCTGCAGGGGTGATAAGATGGTGCGGGAGCGGACGGTGCGGCTGCTGTACGGGAGCCGCGTGGAGGCGGTGTACGTGCTGGGCACGCAGCTCTGGACCGATGTCTACAGGTGAGCCGTGTGGGCGAGTCACCCCCTCCGACTCACCCACCCTTCACAAACCCCGAGACTCTGAGACTTTGAACCAGGACAGCCTGGCTCCACTATCCCAGCTGTCCTTCAATTCGAGATCCTTAGAAATCCTGAGAACTCCAGAAACCTGATAACGCCCAGGCCAGTGTCCACTTCCACGCAATCTCGAGGGCCTCCAAGACACCCAGTCACAGCTACTGCTCCCCTTTACCCTAACTTTCTCATGCCTGGTCTCTTCAGCTCCTCTCCCCGGTGACCTCAGCACTCATGGGCTCCCTGTAACACGCCCCTCTCACTTCCCCCAGGCCCTCCTGGTTCACCTTTCACCCCAGCCTCCTCCACCAGCGGACTTCCTACTCCCAGCAAGCAGAAACTCCCTGGGATGTGCTGGGGACTGGCTTGCTCAAAAGGGAGCTACCCAGGTGGAATCTGGCCTGAGACTTATCCGATTTCACCCTCCCGGGGGCTGCTGGTGGTTGTCTGTCCCGAGGCACTGGCTGTGTCACCAGATGCCTTTCCTGACTTCACCCTGAGATTAGAGAGGGGTCACTTTCCACCCGCTGATGCCCTGGGAGCCAGGATCTGTTCTCTTCCGTCTTCTCTGTCCGCACCCTTGATGGGATTTGGGGTACCGGAGACTCGGAGACTCGGAGACTCGGGGTGAAGGGAATGTTGCTGCTACTGTCCTGTGTTCCGAGAAAATGGGTAGAATGTAGTGAGGGACCGGAGAAAGGGGTTGGGTGAGCAGCCTGAGAGACCACATTGAGGTCTGATGTGCTGTTCTCTGCTCCAAACATTCTAAATGTTCTCCGTTGCTAGGGTGGGAGGGCTTCATGCTGGAAGGAGGGGCATGCAGCACTCTGGGGTGAGACCCTGTGCTGGTGACCTGCGTGGGTACCTCCTCTGTGTGCCTTGCTCCCAAATCATTCTGACATTAAAGCACCGGCTCTCCCACGCCCTCCCAAACCCACCTGAGTGTCTCCTGTTAAACTCTCCCCTCCTATTCTCCGGTTCCCTCCCAGCTGCCTGATCACTTCTCCAGGAAGCCCTGGCCCTGATGATCCCAGAAAGCCCGTCACTAGGACCCCTCTCCGCTCCTTTACTCCTAAGCCTCTGCCCCAGCTTCCATGTCCCCTGGACCTCGACCTCACTGGTCCAGCATACAGACCCTAAAAGAGGATTGGATGGGCCCTGTGGGTTGTAATGCAGTGGCGGAGTATGGTCTAGGTGCCAGCGGCCTGGCAGAGTGCCCATCTCTCCCCCTTCCCAGCTCTGAATTGGGCGCTGCCAAGGGGTAAGCCAGGATCCAGGGCGCTCAGGTCCCTAAGCCACAGCTGTCACCATGCCCGTCTGCTTGCTGGGACACGGTGGGCACAAACTGTCTGAAAACCTGGCACACGGCCTCTGCTGGGGGCTAGGGAGCAAAAGGGGTCCATACCCAAGTCCTTGTCCTTGCTCCTCTCTAGCAGAGAGAAACCAGCCTGGTGAGGGACAAGAGGGCAGGTGCCAGCTCGTGTTACCTCCACCAGGAACGACCACAGGACTCACAGTTCACAGCATTGAAAGTTCCCCAACACCAAGGGTCAGCACAGCCTAGTCCAGCACTGCCCAGAAGAGGCAGAATGCAGGCCACAGTCGTTGCTTTAAATGTTGTAGTGGTCTTTGTTTTAAAATAAGTTAACTGAATATGGATATGGGGTCAGTGGCTCACACCTGTAATCCCAACACCAGAGGACTTGCGTTCATGGCTCATTTAGACTACATAGCAAGTTCCAGGTCAGCTTGGGCTACCAGCATGACCCGTTCTCAACCTTCCCTCAACACATGCATGCACACCTCAGAAAATAAGAAAATGGCCTTAGTCTCAGCACTTGGCAGGCAGAGGCAAGTATGAACCTCTGTGAGTCTGAGATCAGCTGGGTCTACACGGCAACCTCTAGGCCAGTCAAGGCTACATATTAAGACCCTGTCTCAAAACCACAGAAATAAAAGGACTGAAGAAATAGCTCTGAGACTCTGTTGCTTCTCATTCGTGAAGGTCTCAGTTTGAATCCTCAGGTCCCACATAAAAAGCCAGGTGCGGCCGTATGCTTCTGTGCTCTGTGGAGGGCAGAGACATCAGGGACACTGGGAGCTTACCGCTTACCAACCTAGTCAGTGAGAGACCCAGGCAGAGAGTGTCAACAGGATGACAACACCCTTCTCTGGCATGTTCACTCACCCACCCACATCCCCCGACATGTGTTACATGCACAACACACACACACACGCACACACAAGTTGGAGAGACGTAATAATGCTCATGCTATATTTTGTTAAGCCCAACATATCTAAAACTTTATCATTGAAATACATGATCATGGAAAGATGGCTCCTGAGAAAGTTGACATTGTTTCCCCTGCGAGACTTTGTTATACTCAAAGTTCCTTTGCAGTGGGGCAGCTGGCCACTATGCAGGGGCCCCACGGTCACCTATGCTGACTGTCACTATCCTGAACAGCATGTGTCTGGAGCAGAGACCCAGAAGCTCTCTGGGTAATTCTTTGCTGAGGGGACTGTCTGTATGGTGTAGTATGATGAATGATATTCCTGCCTCAACTTACACAATGTCAGTAGCAATCCCCCCCCGCCCACAATATGACAACCAAAAATGCCTCCGGACAATGTTTGCTTCCTCAGGGAAGCAAAGTCACTGTGAGCTGAGATCACACATAGAGCAGAAAGGAGCCTTCTCCATCGGGTCATGTCCAGTACTGCAGGGACAAGCTCCTCTCAGGCAGACAGAAACAGGAGGGGTCAATGGCCACTTAACACTAGGAAGTGATGCACCGCCCCCTTTGTTCTGTGTGAGACCTGGAAGATGCACTTTGAGCATCCTGACTCGCCAAAGAAGAAAATATGGCTCAGAAAGAGGAAGCCATTTACCTGGTGACAACCAGGACCCCTGTAAGTCTGTCAAGTTCAGAGGTCATGTTTCTTCCTCCACTCAACCCTGTGTGACCCCTGGCCACCGTCCACCCTGGATGGGAGTCCTCTGCCCCAAAACATCACCACCCCCACCCAGCCTTCTACGTCTTAACAAGTCCTTCCTGGCTGAGACACAGGTTCTGGCTCAGAATCCCAGTGATGCTGTCACCCCCAGGGCCTCTGAATAGATTCCACATAGCAAGACCTGTGGGTAGTACACCCAGTTATGTAGGAAGGAAGGTGGGGGCCCCTTGTTCTCGCATCAGGTCACAAAGGTGAATGAACAAGCCCCACTCCCCCGTCAAGGACTGAGGGTGAAGGTGATCCTCTTCCTTCCAGACCTTGTGGCCCTGGTAGGAACTGCCTTGCCAGTCCAATGCCAGGCCCCACCATTCTTTCATGTGGGGTGAATGGTCTCTGGGTGGAGGCTGTTTTGAGAAACTTAGAATCTGTTGGCACAATAGAAATAGACAATTTTTTGTTTTAATTTTGTTTTGGTTTTCAAAGACCTTATTGTCAGCCTGGAGAGATGGTTCAGTGGGTGGGACCTGAGTTTAAATGCCAGCACCCACATAAAAATCACAGTAACCCCAGTGCTGAGAGAACAGACAGGAGGCTTACTGGGGCTATCCAAGGTCAATGAGAGGTCCTTATTTAAAAAAAAATAATGCAGGGCTCATGTCTTTAATCCCCGGTCCTTGGAAGGCAGAAGCAGGTGGATGTCTATGAGTTCCAGGAGAGCCTGTTCTACACAGTAAGTTCCAGGACAGCCAGTGATGCATAGTGAGGCTATCTCAGAGAGAGAGAGAGAGACACACACACACAGAGAGAGACACACACAGAGAGACAGAGAGAGACAGAGACAGAGTGAGAGAGAGACACAGAGAGAGAGAGACAGAGAGACAGAGAGACTCAGAGATAGAGAGAGACAGAGAAAGACAGAGAGACAGAGAGAGACAGAGAGACAGAGAGAGACATACAGAGAGAGAGAGACAGAGAAACACACACAGAGAGAAAGACAGACAGAGAGACAGAGAGACAGACAGAGAAAGACAGAGAGAGATACAGAGAGAGAAACAGAGAGAGACAGAGACAGAGTGAGAGAGAGACACAGAGAGACAGAGAAAGAGAAAGACAGAGACAGAGAGACTCAGAGACAGAGAGAGACAGAGAAAGACAGAGCAAGACAGAGAGACAGAGACAGAAAGACACAGAGAGAGACACAGAAAGAGACAGACAGACAGACAGACAGAGAAAAACAGACACAGAGAGAGAGCAAGAGAGATTAAGGCAGATAAAGGAGGTCACCCAATATTGTCCTCTTGCCTCTGTGAATTTTCGCATTTGCACATATAACACATGCACCCCTGCATACACATGTGAGCATACACCACACAAACACACACACACACACACACACACACACGAGAAAGAGCGATCTTGCCATTATTCACTTAGTATCACCCCCTAAACTTTTTGGACACCCAGCAGCCTTCCTAACATTTACATGCTCATTTCGTATGCATTTAATCATTTGCATACACTCAGCCCTCATACTGACTTCATGAGCTAGGTACTAGGTCCCTTTCGCCCTTGGAGACCTAAAGTCAGACCACACGGCCAAGCAGTGCTTCAGGAGCAAGGCTCAGGCTGCCAGGGGTTCTCTCAATCTGTCTTCCTGAGACTCATGTTTGGGGCATGGCTCCTCCCTGCTCATTTCCTTAGAGAGTCATTGTGGGCTGTGGGGTGTGGGCTGTGAGGTGGGTGGGTGGGCGGGCGGGCGGGTAGGTGGGTGGGTGGGCAGGTGGTGGGTGAGTGAACATGACCACTGATGGCTGCAGACAGCTAGCATGGGGCCACGTTTCCCACCTCCATCCTCAATAGACAGACCCTGTTGGATGATGTTGGATGGGTCCATGGAAGGTCAAGGGTATGTGGCAAAGCTTGGCAGAGCAGCAATGCCTGCTGCCGAGAGAATGACGAAGGAAGACATCAGGCCAGGTCCCGTGGCC